CGGTGAAATTATAAGGCTTTCCACCACTCACGCGAGAAACCATTTTTCATGCTTCGTTGTCGTTGATGAACCTTTTTTACGGCTGTAATCCCAGGGTAAGCACGAGGGAACAAAAATGCTTAACGATGCTCCGCGAAGATGGACTTTTTCGAACTCTTTGACGTTTCTCTAAATTAACCACAGTATAGTCCGTTACTTTTTTTGTCCGTTACTTATTTCGATCATTCATTCGACCGAAAGGAAGTGCGCGTTCAACTTCATCTGAACAATATCGTCTGCAGCGGGGAAAATTTTTTTCGAAACTCTAAGACCCGAGCGCTTATTGTGAGACACAAAGCACGCCAAGCGATCGTGAAATTTCGTATGCTTTTGAGATATCTCCCGCGGGACTTCCGGATCGTTCGGGGAAGTAGTTTCCTCAACGTAATTTGCTCGATCAAACTTTTCTATCCCTTTGCCTGTTAAATCAACTTTTTGCGCCGCACTTTGCTGGCGGACGAAGGTCGTCGCGTTTGCGGATTAAGATTTGCGCGAGCGGTAAATTTAGCGGTGCGTGGAGTCCAATTTTGTAAATTTTCCGGGATTCGTATTTGCGATGAACGAGCGCGCGTGAGCTCGTTTTTACTGGCGGCGACAAAAGCGCGCATTTCCTCCCCGAGATGTCTGAGTGCCGGACGGGTGTTCGTGTTCGCCGCTATTGTAGGTCGATCGATTCCCGGGGCGAGCGTGTGTGTGCGGTTAACGTGCCTGCCCGTAGTCGGCGGCGGTGATACGTCGAATCCGCGCGCGAGGAATGATTTATTGAAAAACAAGGAAGCTTGTGCGCGGGACTTTACGGGTCATGTTTAGATTCACGAGTTGCACCTGCAACATCTTCCATCGCGCGTTTACCAGCGCGCTTACCCGTCCCTTTATTATTTCTGCGCCGCATTAAGGGCTTACACTGTGTGCTTCGTATATGGTACATAATTGCGGCCGTACACGATTTACATACTGTTCTGTGCGTCGCGATTTAATCTAACATTTTGCGGGGTCAGAATTTTGCGATGTACGTTTCAAAGATATTCATAGTAAAGTGACGTACCGACGTTGCGGATTTTTCGATAATATAGTTTAGTATAGTACACTATAGCAAGCTTTGACACGTAGATAGCATACTTTGATTACGCAGTCAAGCGTGTCTCCTCACTGCTTTAATTGGAGCAAGCCTGCAGTAGGCGCGTGGGTGACATACGTCACGCATCTTTCATCTTCAATATCTCTCTTTAACGATGAGATTCGCATTCCGAGCGATATCCAATGAACTAATGTTGCAATTTCACGCTCAAGCAACATGATAAAAATAAAACAGGCAAGAAATATATTTAAGGAAATAGATATTATATCAAGATACAATGAGCCCACGCGCTTGCTCCGCGCTCCTTGAGATATGACCGTTCGAGATTGCATCGGGTTAAATATAACAGGATATTTCTTTTCAGTCTGAAGAGCAAAATTTTTCGAATTCTTCGATACATCGCAATATGGTCCAATCAAATAAATTCGGAATCCTGTTTTGTTTACTAAACTGTTTTATCCAACCTTCGCTACAATTTCTTCCGCGCGTAGATGCGGATATTCTCCGATTTCTGCAGTCTGGCCATTGGATCGTAAGATTCGATGGCTGAAGAAAATAGCCAGGTTAGTACTTATATGCGTTATCGGCGTCCCCTCGGGCACACGGGTTCCTATCTGCGATTTTATTCGAGGGCGTGCACGATCGCTCTTACACGGTCGCCATTGCTATCAGCTCAGCACGTCGTCTTCTTCGTTCCGCGGTCGTTGTTCGACCCTCGCGTTAGTTTGCGATCGTTCTTTAAACTCCCTTCCGCAACCACCCTTCTGCCGCACGCGCGATAAGTTTTCACTCGGTGGTTAACGAGCTCCTAAAATCGCGCTCGTAAAACTCGCGAGGAATTTGAAGATTCGCTCTCTTCTACGATATCTTAAGTATCCATCATTATTACGATATACAATGATGATTACGATTCTTACTACGCAAGAATTAGTTTTCTATTCTTCCCAGATAACTTTTTGATAATTTGCTCATGCTGTTAATTAATTGATTTGCTGTAAATGCAATTCTTTTAAATATTTAAAAAATAAAATTACTCTAATTTTGACCTAAATTATAAAAGCTAAAATTTAAATTACACATGAATAATTAGAAAAGTTTATGTGTATATGAAAATAAAATTTACATTTATGCGATATAAATTGCATTTTATATTCCAACATATTCTTTTTTAAACAGTTTTACGTTATATGCGATATTTTTTTTATTTCTCTTATAAATGTGTAAAACATTCCGCTATATACATATGTATAAAAAAAATCACTTTCCCTCATCTATCCTTCATGTTAAATCATTTATACGCACATTTCTTTTGATTAATTTCTCTGAGTGGCATTCGAATTTGAATGTATCTGTTCCAAAATCTGTAACTATTTTTGAATATATCCCTGGAAAAGAATAATCCGTCTCTATTTCCGTTTAGCTCTAGGCTCTCCTGCAGCGGTTTTGTGACTAACCAACGTACCTTTGTTACATGGTATACGCGCGCGGTTTCAGTGGACGATAACACACAGGTTTATAATGTGAAGAGAGGACGACACAGGGATCGCTCTGTCTTTTTTTCGACAAGCATTCGTTGCCTTTCTTGCTTTCTTCCTCCCAGTACATTCAGCCTCAGAACATATAGTGACCCGTTATAACAGCAGGGACGCTTATTATTATATACGCGTTCCAGTCACGTGCGCTAGAAACTTTTCTTCGCGTCCATTGAAAAATTTATCATACGTTTTTGCACCGCATTATATGCCCCGTGATGGACGCCGCAATACTTCCTTTTTCTTCTGCCGTTCTTCTCTCTCTCTCTTTCTCTGTCCCTCTCGCTTTTTTCTCTTTTTTTGCAACTGAAGGGTCTGGGGTGAAAGCGACAAGCGTTTCTGGGTCACCACTTTGGAAGTTTCGTGATGCCATAAAATGAAGTCGGTTCTTGTTGGTCGCCTCGTGCTTTCGTGGATCGTTAGACGCTACGACTATGATTATTGCGACGTTAGATATACCGGTTGTAGTACAAGTTCAAATCGCAAGTTGGAACAGTTGATTTTTATGCAGCGATTTGAGCGCAACTTGCCCCGGAGGGGAGATATGAAAAGTAGCGCTTTATCTATTATATCTTGCAAAATAATCTCTTGATGAAAACGCGTAGAAGTTAAACTTCTCAACGACTGAAGTTTGACGGAAAAATCCTCTCATCTTTTAATTGTGTCGTTGAGCGTGTATTCGTTTGCATTAGTATTCGCTAAGAGATCTGCCAGTAATAATATAAGCGGATCTTTTTAAAATGTTAATAGTTACTCGACGCTTTATTCATCTCATGAATCCGATGAATTCATTATTTTCTGGGGGCGCATTCAACGTCTCTCACGTATATTTAAAGTAGCGGGCAGGCGAGCGAGCAAGCGAGCGAGCGGGAACGCAGCATGGCGTGAGCCACGCAAATCGGTCATTTCTGTAAGGTTGCACCTTGAAAGAAACGGTCGCGCATCAAAGACCGTCGACGAGAAGAGGTGAAACGCGCCGAGTGAGATCCGTGGTCTTTTTGTTTTATCAAAACACTGAGCTTAAATATCTTTGCACGCAGCGCTTCAAAACTATAATTGTCTCTCGAAAAAAGACGACTTTGATCAGCATGAACGAGATACGAGATTCTAATCAGCTTATTTGGCAGCGTTTTAAATTCGTGATATATAATACTACTAACGCTAGCTGACGATGCAACCAGCTAATGACCGTAGCTGGGTTGAGAGGATTTATCGCTCGTTTTACGTTTGCGGCGCTATAGACGTCGAAAAAAAAACCAAAAGAAAAAAGAGGAGCGTTTTAAGTTATCCCTAACGTTCTGCCTCTCTCGTCGGCCGGTTTGGACAACTTCCAGTCGACCGATCGTAACCGCTCGCGAAAAATGCTTGAAAGAGGTGTACGTAAGTGTCCTACAGTCCCACTAACGTGCCGTGGATTCATTCTTTACAAACCGTCAATTCGATTTCACGATCGTGCGATTACAAAGTGCCAAGTTTACGTGTAACGAATCTTACGAGGAAATTCGTCGTAATCAAATCGAACGATATCAAAGTACATTAAATATTATTGTAACGAATAAACGAAAGAGACAGCACTTAATATTTATCTTGCATTTAATTTTAAATAATTTTTTTTTTTTTTAATTTTTACGACTATTGTTATGGTGATTTCTTACATTCGCGAAAAAACGCTGGCAACTAAACTGGATTGGCAACAAACGGACAAGAATAAAATACGAGGAGTGCGCGAGCAAAAATGCATACGTTACACGCGTCACATTTACATTCGTTAAAAAGGATGAGCTGAAAGGACCGGTATTTATACAGCACGGTTGGATCCGACTGAAACGACTGCAGAAACGGCGCACTAAAATAAATTGTACGACCCGCAGCGTAATTGCTTTACGCATCCACAGACACATCGTTACCGTCGATGATTATTCATTGTTTTATAAATAGTCAGCTCTCGGCATTGCGCGTTACGTCTGGTGCAGTTGCATTATTCAACAAGGCTCAGGAAAGAGTGACTGTAAAGTAAAAACGGAAATTGCCGCGAACATGTAGCGAGCATTTCTTGAATTTTGCGGACTAATTTATCATTTGTCACATTTCATCTAAACTCAAATATCAGCGACAAAAGCGACATTTGCATGCAATTCTGAAATTGGTGTATTTTGTATGTCGTGATTTTCACATTTCTTTATAATAATCCGCAAAATTTGCATCTTTTTACTTTTCGGAAATAATTATTTTTTGAATTACTCTTATTATTTTTTATTTAAAATATTTTATGGTTGATATATATTATATATATGTTGCGATTGAGAATGCACGATGCAAGTGTAAAATCACATATCTTTTCATTTTTACAGGAATTTGCAAGCGGTTGATTTTAAAAGCTGGAAATATTCTTTTCATGCAACGACTAGTCAGCGATGCAGTTTTATCGGTCTCCATCGAGGATCTTGGAACTAATTCGTGTGCCCAGGTACGTACGTTTAAAGTCCATAGATGTCGATTTGAAATTTATAGTAGGGCATAAACTGATCTTCTGGCCACCTCTGAAATACGAGGTCTGAAATTTTCCCGCGAGCGCACGCCGATGGTAGGGGAAAAAAAAAAAAAAAACACGGAAAAATTGCGGTTCCAAAAGGAGATTAAGGCCGTTCTACCATTCATTACCTAAGACAGGACGAAGCCCTGTAGGTCGCAGCGAGGAACTCGCCTCATATTGTATAATTAATTATAAGGAAAACCATCTGGTAGTTCCGTCCAATGCTAATACCTTACACGCGAGACTAAGTGCACGGTCGAAGAGGGCGACAGTTTCGAGAAGTATCGATAGCATTTCTGTGCGCGGTCTCGCGGGATTAATTGCACGCGCACCACGACCAATTAAGCTCGCGTATGATCGACTAAATGATGCATTTTCCGCCCGTGCAGACGTAGCAAATACGGTTCGCCGATTCGCGAAAGTGGCGTTAAACGGTTTCGGGGCCGCCTTTGCCGTAATTCGTCGTTCTATCGTATCGGATTTATCGAGTCGAGAAAATTATTGCCGTTTGTTGCAAAAAAAAGAGCGAGGCAGGGGGGGGGGAAACGGGTCAAATGCTTGACTACCGGGTCGTAACGGTCGCGAGCTCTCACGACAATTATTGGAGTAAAGTCGTCAAATGGCTTTCGTCCGTTCGATCGGTCCTCGCCGTTGGTCCCGGAGGAGAGAAAAATCATTTACCCTACTTCTTTCTGGACACGAGACGGCGGACGGTAGAAAAAGACGCGCTACTATCGGCGGAGCGTAATTGGTAGCATCTGTGACCTAGTCTTCTGCGAAATTGATTGAAGTCTTCGGCCGAAGAATCGCGGCTAATTGGAACGGGCAACAAACCTTGCAGGATAGAACGAATAGTCGTGTTCTCCGCCTCGATTTATTTCTTTCGAGTGATACACCACTTACTGGAAAAGCCGATTAACGTCACCATTGAGCCCTCGCAGTAACGTCGGTCAAGTTCTCGAGGCATTAAATCGTTTCTTACGTGTGCAACGAAAATCCGCCGTCGCGGTATCTTTCGACGTTTTACAAGCGCGGCTAGGTAGACGGAACGTCGTGTCTGATATTCCGAAACTACGAGACGAGAGCGTCGAGACACAAATGCAATTCTAAGTCACCGATATTCCGGGTGAAATCGAGTTAAATCTCCACAAAGTTTAGTTAGTCGTTCTCTTATCGGCTGATTCCGTCGCGTTTACACTCGCGCGCTATTAAATCCAGCTTTAAAACGCGTAACGGCGAAACGATCGCGAGAAATAGTTGGCGTCTATGAGAACTTTGGTGTGAGCGGACGTATCCGAAAGCGGTGGAATCCGTGAGATTTTCGTAATCCGTGTTGCATTGCATTCATCCCGATTCTCAATCGGCGATTCGCGACCTAACGCGGAACAACAGCGGGAAAGTTGCCACTACCGGTAAATCCTTTCCTTTCCTTCTCGCTTCCCTGCTTCCCTCTTCCCCGACCTAATTTAATGTATTCTTCAATTATTCATTTCCTCGGCGGCAGAGAGGGACTCTAGAGGTGGCAAACTCCACCGTAGACGATGGACGAGAACGATGGGAAGGGGTGCTCGCAAGTCGGGTCGACGGTGATGGAAGCGACGGCGGCGGTGGCGGCGGAGGGATGCCTATTAAATATGCCTCGGAAAATTGGATTTGAAATTCTTATTTTTCCACGGCACGTTTCCACTCCTTTCCCGCGCTCACCCCCTCGCGTTCTTCCCTTTATCCACCGGTTTCCCTCGCGAAAGACTCCGTTCACCGGAGAAAAATATACTATTCTATCCCGGGGCTAAATACCGATGTCGCTATTGTTAGGGGAAACGGCTCCGACTGGCCTAATAGTCTTAAATTTTTACGTTATGTACCTGCTGTTGCTGCAGCTGCCGCTACCGAGAAACTTCACCTTTCTTTCTTCCCCCCTCTCTGCTCTCCTTCCGCGCTTCTGCTCCTTCCTCCGGGGCTAGAGCGGGACCTGGAACATTTTCAACGTGTAATGGTATTCCCTCTGGCTACACGGCGATGAGATGTATCACATTTTGTAGGGTGCGATAAAAATTCGCGAATAGGACGTGCTGAAAGGAATTCGGCTAGGCAACGTGCATAATTTGCATAATCCCTTTAATCGTCCGAAAACACGATTTACGAACGTGATATTCCATTGAATGTTATTTAGGAATAATGGTCCTTTTATTTGGAATTTTTTAATGAGACGTACAGTTCAATATCGATTCTTTCGAACGAGTGTGAAATGTAAATTTATTTTTACATAAAACTGTGAAATTTTAGTACGCTTTTTATATTTTGGTAGAAAATAAATATGGATGAATTAAAAAGTACATTCAAATGCGCATCGCATTAATATTCGCGCATTTTTCATAGTCGTGTGAGATTTTTCGAAGCGTAAATTGTTTAAATAATTGCATTTTATAATTGTCATAACTAATAATCGGTAACGTAAAATCCACTCATGCCGTTACATTTATACATGTATGATTATGTGGCATGTTTCGGAAATTAATAGCGAACGTTCGAATGACGTATCGAACGATGGCTTATAAGGCAACGGAATCACTGTCAAACTTCGCAAGTTAGCTTGACGTGTATACACACCTTTACATTTACACAACTGACGTTCTACGATTACGATAAGGGCGCAAGAAGATTGAGACATTACTGTGTCGTGTAATTTCTTGTCCAACAACTTTCCAGCTGGCACGAGCCGTTATATCGGCGATAGATGATGAGAAAATATTTTTATTGAATTATTACTCTATAATGGCTTACTGCGAGGAATAAATGGGAAACGATTCTTTATTATTACTCCAAATAATGATTATATTTCAAGGAAATAATGGGGATGTAATATAACATTATTTTATCAAATCACTCTTTATTGCACTGAATCTCACAAGTATGTGTTAATATTATTTATTGATTTTATTGGGAACATTGCGTGCATTTGTGCGTATGATATTCCCAGTTCGGTGTAGATCAATAACTTATCGTCATTGTCCCGAGACACCAATTACACTAATATCCGGCATATGCCGTCACGATTACCGCCGGCGGATACGCCCAGTAAGAAGACACTCGCCTTAATGATGGCTGTTATCAAAGTCATTCGGCAAAGTTACCCGTATAACTATCGCACAGCTATTCAACGCTTGTGCGCGCGGTCAAACTCGTAACCACTGCTGCCAACTTGCCGTTAATTTGCGACCGCGAGGAAAGCTCGCGTCAATAATTAGAAGATCTTGCGCGTATCCTCTCACTCTCGCGTTCCGGCGAATGAGACGTGGGTAGGATAGGTAGGATAGGACGAGACGGAGGAGGAACGAAACTTTCCGTCGAGTTCTTCTTTCGTGCGCGAAACCGCTATGCCGCGAAATATCTTCAACGCGAAATGTCGTCTGAATTACGATCCCTCCTTATGGTCGGCCTGTGCAGACTCTCGGAACAAACGAGCGAGCCCGGGCGAATTTCTTTGCGCATTCCAAACGAAATTCCCGCGCCAACTGCCTCAACCTGGCATCTCTCCCCTCTTCGCATCCTCCTTTTGCGCGAGGAAACGCAACCGTGCGCGAATTCATCAGCGCCCGCCCGACATTCGCGCGAGATAAGAGCAGCGCCGGCCATCGTCTTCTGCCTCGTTAGCGCGGCTCTTTCATCCACTTCGTTGCCCTTGCGGGTCCCTCTGTCTCGTTAATAGGCTATTTTTCTCCTTTCAACGATCAAAATTCGTGTAACGCGCGGGTTTCTGTCGCGAAATTGCACGCTGTTAATTCTATGCATAGTGCATAGGGTGACGTATTTATGCAGATGACGTATATATGCAAATTCTAGCACTTTCTTGATATGTCCCCGGTGATCCATTCCGTATTATAATATATGTACAAAGAATTTCTAATTTTCAAGTAAAAAGTGGATATGACAATTTTTCTTTCTCTTTAAACGAACAATTTGTTATATAATCTGATTATATTTTCTATTTTGTACCTATTTTCTGCATTGTTGCTGCTAGTCATTTACCGTCAAATTGTATCTTTGTATTGGAAGGCAAAGCGTGAGAGCGAATTTAAAGCATTGGGCCGTGAACCGAAACGGGATGCAATAGCAGTCTGAATAGAAAATTTAATTAAATAACACGACAAATGTGTGTGGGACCCGCACGACGTTTAGCGGCCACGAAGCATAACATTACTGGCAAATTAACGGCCGTGTTAGGTGCATTTCACGAAGGTGTTATGTGCAGTTATGACGAAGGTTGTATGTTACTCAAACGTGCACGTTTAAAATTGTGTTACGTCATTAAAGGGCGCTAATTGTCGTATTGCGCCTTTATATGCGATTGTGATTCTGAATAAACGCAATGAACGCGATGAATAAATTCGTCGGAGGAATTAAACGAACGAAGCAAGAATAAACAATACACAATGCGTACAAATAAATCATTTTTTTTTTGTTTTCACATGCAGCAACGTAATTATACTTTTTGAAAATTGGATATATCCATAAAACTTTTTTAATTACTCATTTTAATTATCAAAGTTTTCCGTTATTATTTGTTTTTATTTAAAATAGTTATTTATTATAATTTTGATATTGATTAGCTATTGACAATTTTATGATTACATTTTTTCTCTTTTCACGATTCTCACGAGTATTAAATAGTTCATTTTTTAATGTATAGTTAAGAACGATTGAAAAATTAAACCTTTTTTAATTTAAATTAATATATATTGCAAGTATAAGAGAAAATAATTTTATTATTTATAATAGCACGGAAGTTACGTTATCCAATATTTCTTAGTTACTGATTCTCATTCATCGCGTTCATTCTCACTGATGTATTCAATTTAATTTTGCATCACATCCAGCTAAACACGCATACACGAACCAAGGACAAAGTAGTGTACATAATACAATGCGAGCGCTGTAGCTGACATGTTACAGACAAACTATACTCCGAGGTTTGTCAATTATTCTTCAAATGCATTTTCATCAAACGCAAGGAACTGACAGACGTAATGGAATTTCGACTGCTCCAGATATATGCGCAATCATAATACATAAGCTGTATCGTAACGCCAAACAGACAGAAGATGATATAGTGTCGTCTGACATATCGGCGTGGCGTAAACACGTATCTCTCGCGCTCTCTCTCTCTCTCTCTCTCTCTTTCTCTCTCTCTCTCTCTCTCTCTTCTCTCTCTCTTCTCTCTCTCTCTCTCTCTCTCTCTCTCTCTCTCTCTCTGTCTGCCGACGTATCCGTTACATTACGAGAGAACGCGCGAATGGAAATGCTAGCACAGAATCAAGGATACCTATGTCGGAACAACACCGCCGGGCGATTCCCGCAAAAATTGATAAACATCCGCGGCAGCCTGCGCGAATCCCTGCTGCGATATTCCTCCGGCGCTCTGTTTTTTTGTTTAACGAAACACAGTGCGGAGCTAACGAAAAAAGTGACACCAAAGCTACCGAACGCGCCGTCGATAACTGCAACGCTGTTGGCGTAGACCAGGAGAGGGGTCACTGCGGTTTTTGCGGGTTAACGCCAAAATATCCATTGTTTCTTCGTTAGGCGACTGCACCGTCGGCCTACACCCGCCGACGCGACGTACGTATCTATCCGCGCGGCGGACCCGGGTCGATATCACGCTCCATTGAAAATCGGCTTGGTATTCCGGAATAATTGATGCCGGTCTGAATCCGGGCGACAACCCCGACATGACGAATCACCGCCTTGTTTTAGAGCTCATTCGCGATCCGCGATGTTCCCACGTTATCAAATATCCTCATCCATGAGAAATGCAGCATGCGATACGCTCGAATTTAATCTTAATAAGCACGATAGAATTCGAAATGAAGTATTTCAAATTCATGAAGCTTTGTTTTTACCGTTGTTTTATTGTTAAATAATACTTTTGAGAATATGTTACTTGTGGAATGGCAAAAATCATGATAACAAAACGCGACGGGTATTTGAAAAAAAAATACATGTTAGAAATTAGAAATTTTGAACCTAGGTTAAAAGAAGACATATCGAATTATATTTGAGAGTGCACGTTATCGGGTTTAGAATTAGCAGAACGAGGAGCATTTGAGAATTTTATAGAAGACTTAAACAGCTGTTACGCGTGCTCGTTGGCCGACATACACGTATTGCCACTTTGTAGCGGTGTAATAAATGATCGCGTTCGTCTTAGTGGAGGCATCGGGCGTGTAATTAAATACGGGCCAGCTCGTCTGTGCGGAATTACTTTCCAGAAAGGAGGCAGCCGTCTTGACCGATGTACGTCTGTAAAATGCTACGGATCGATAAAATAGCACATGAGAATCCCCAGTTATAAGCTACGGCTGGTCTCGCGTAATGAATTCCACCCGGTGGTGCATCTGCTGGCGCTTCCTTATGGATTTGCTTCTTCGCGAATAACGTTCGCGGCACGAAATTACGATCTCCGCTGAAAGTGGGACATGCGCAATTCGAACTTTATACGTTCGCATCGAATAGAAGTGACGCTTTGCCTATAACCGTTTTTCTCGCGGTAGCAGGAATTCGCGAAGAGAGCGGCGATCATTTTTCGTAATTTTCTTTTCGCGTTATCATTGGTTATTCAAAAATGTGCGTTTTCACCGTTTTCATCTCGCCGAGTACGACGTTTCGCCTCTTTAGCAAGCAAACTCACCCACGATTTTCCGCCGTGACTAAAGTACAGAGATTGGTATCTTCATAATTACGGGCGAGCAATCTGAAATAGCCTGCGCTTTGTTGTCCTGGAATTTTGCAGGAGAGAAACGGCGCGCCGCTCGGCGAGGCACGACACTTTTTACGAATTAACAAAAGTTCTTAATAGCCCGGCTTGTAATAACTTGGCAGAGTTATAATGGCCTCGATTAAACATGGCGCGCCGTGTCGCCAAATCCGCTTGGTAACTCGGCGATTTATTCGTGAGAATTGAAGCTGATGTGT